CCTCATGGAACATTCCTACTGCTCCACTGAGATGAGGCATCCTCTTATTCAGATTTTCATAAACCACAACTGATAAGTGACAAGGAAATAACAAACTGGCAAATATTGTCTTTATCCTTTCTGGTGGCAGAAATATTTGGTGAGCGCAGTAGCATTTAAGGAACACTTTTATTGGGCAAGAAGGAAGATGACTGGATTGAAAATTGAACTAAACTAGCTGAAAATCTGATCTACATTATCACACTTACACTAGCAATAATATAAGTCTCAAATACTGTATAGATTATTTTTAAAAGCTCTATTTCAGATATATCCATGCTAAAAGCATCTATATGAATATATAGTTTTAATTTTTCTTACTGAAAAGAATGTACATGGAATATATACTATTCAGAGTCATTTGTAATTACTACCACATATAAGCCTAATTTATTTGTTGTATGTTTATTTATGTGCATGTCTGTGTATGTGTGTGTGCACATACACACTAAAACAACTGGTTTTTTTTTTTAAAAAAAGCAACTGCTTAGAATGTAACTGCTAAGCAACCTGGAGATTTAAAATATGCTGCAGGTTAAAGGCAATTTATATCCTGCTCACTTTCCAAAATAATGAAATATGAACAACCAAATGTGTAGAAGAACAACAACACTTTCTGGTACTGTGTCATTCAGTTCTTATTACTGAAGTTTGTCAGACACAGGAAGTAAAAGGGAAGGGAAAGACTATGATGCAAGAAATTAGCGCAAATAAGCAATTCATACTTCCAAACTTGGCTGAAAGTCACATGTGCTTTTTTCAGAGTACTAAATTTCTGTGCAGGAAGAGGTGGTGGAGGATGTGCAAGGATGAATCTCTTTCCTCTACTTCCTCTAACATGCTGAGAAAAGTTACTCACAGTGTATTCAAAATACACTGTGAGTAACTAGTATACTTGCCTGCAAAGCAAGCAGTATCCAAGCTGAAATGTAGAAAGCAACTCTAAAACCATATATAGGAATCTCCTGTAAAAATGCCCATACTGAAAAACAGTCAAATAGGCTTGAATGTACCATTATAAAAAGTAATCTAAAAGGCAAACATTATCTTGAAATTATGGAAAGTCACAGCAATCTACGTAGGAATGTCTTTGAAAAGTATTATGATATATCTACAGTGTATTTTGAGATTTCTTCCCATTGTTTCTACACCAGTCATTTATTGTCCTTTCACTCCCAATTATTATAACAACTGAAACCCTGGATGCAGTAACATTAATATTGAATGCATTAATATTTTACTGCTATTACAGAATATGCATTCCATATTGTACTTGTAAACTTTTTCCTTTGGGTTAAAAGGTTACATGTTCTAAAACTGAACCTCTCTTTTAATGACATAACCTTTATGGTTTTGTGGACTATGGAAACTGCATGTATTGTTTTATTACATATAAGAAGTGCTTTACTAAAAGTAAGTAAGTGACAAATCAAAGATCAACTAAATAGATGGCTAATGAAAAATATTCCCAATGTTATTCACAATTGTGTACGCTGATTATCATTTCATAATAAAAATATTAAACTTACCTCAAATAATTTAGATTGGAATGGACAATCCCATTATTTTGGCAATCATTTCTTTAAAATGTGCACTTAACAAATTCGGCTTTCAAACAATTCTTAAGATTGCATTAGCAAGATATAGCACCAAAACGATCCATGTCACTGTGACTACCTGCGAAGGCTCCTGGATTGGGGCTGAAAAGGCGAAAGCAGAACCAGCATGCTTCATCCCATGTTTGGGTTGACTAGGTTGCCCTGATAAAAAACACTCTTTCTCCTGATAATAGCTGACAAGCGATAAAGAACCCATGGCTTAGAGGCTAATAACATCTACCTAATATGCAAGTAGCCCAGGTTCGAATCCCAGAAGGGTATGGCCAACTAATGAGAGCTAAATAGCTTGAAACAGATCTATACTAGCCTCCCTTTATTTCTTTGTCGGTAAATATGAATTCAACACAAAAATAGTTTGCCGTGAAAGTGACTGCCTGCCTGTGAAAACTCCTGGATTGTGGCTGAAAAAGCGGAAGCAGTATGTTCTGTCCCATATTTGGGTAGACCAGATTGCCCTGATAAAAAACACTTTAAATTTCTAAATACTTTAATCAAATCACATAAAGAGTTCTGAAGCATTAATGTTCTTATTTAAATGGGAGAGAGGTGATTTTGCACTGTTAAAACATTCATGAACCATGACACTGTAGACCAACCTTTCCTAATTAACATTGGCCTTAACTCCAAAAAATATCAGATCAAACCACTTGAGGAATTTTTGGGCTGAAAACTGTAGATCTGCAGGTACCAAAGTTGGAGAAAGCTACTTTCCAGTATTCAAGCAATAACTGAAATGGCTTTGCATTAATTTTTCTCCCCATTCTCCAAATCCAGTATAAAATTGGTTAAAAGAACAAAAAATACAAAGGTTTCCTTTTCCCCAAGTTATCTCAGAAGAGGCTCATAAAGTAATGAAATGTTTAACTTCCTGTTTTTACATTTATACATTAAAGGTGTATTGCTGTTGGTTTATTTTACATACTGTTCATATTGGTTTGGGTCCAATAATACTCTGTGTAAGTAGAGAGACGTTTTCATACATTCTATGTCAATCAATTCTGCTCTCCTATAACATATCCCATGGCAGTGTGGAGATTTTTTCAACCACAGAAGTTTTTCAAAGATGCAAGCAGGACAACTGTGTTAGCAGGAGGGAAAATTTATACATCACCACTTTTGACATACTGTGATGTGATAAATAATATGACATCTATAGTAGCAATATATTTAACAGGGACATCACCTGTGCATGCCAACTTTGTTGTTTTAAAGAAAGATCTTAATTTAAAACAATTACATGCAACTGCAAATCCACTGAACTCGCTTCAGCTTAGTAAATAAGGTGGGCAATTGGAAATATCCCATAAAAAAGGCAAAGGTAAGCTGGGTGAAATTAGCCTTTGGCCTATGAACTTCCATCACTTCAGCTCTCTGATTTGTTGGAAATCCTTTTGTAAAACAATGTTCTTGTGTAGCTAGCTCCTGGTAGCTCCAGTATTCAGGCCAGCATGACACCTTTTCTTTCCAATATATTGCATATTCTTCTATGCCTTCCCTCTTATACATCTTGATTTTCTATTTTTAATTTTCCCAAGGCCACTCAATGTTCAACAGTCAAAGAGCACTGACATTCCCATTATATTATTCGGATTCCACCTTCCCCAATCTTATACTTATTTCCCTAATTTTTTATTCTTCCTACTTCTGCAATATGTGAGTCTCTCTAAAATATTCTAGTTTACTTCTCAATTCCCACTAATTCTGATCTGGATACTGAGCTATCACAATGAAGCATATGGATTTCTTATTACCATAAAATAAATCTAAAATAAAATGTTTTTTAAGGGAACGTTCCTAATAAAGGACTTTACCTGCCATTTCTCTTTTTAGAACATATATTAAAGACAACACTTGCAACAGTGTATGATAACCCATACCTAGAAAGCTCACTATCATGATAGAACAAAATCATATATATATTATATGTATTATACATACACACACACAAATAATAGGACATCCACTAAAATTGATAGTGGATGTCTAGACTGGGGAGGGGGGGGGGAGAGAACCAGGAACATCTATTGCACAATGGAAGTACATTCAATAAATATTGGACATAGCTTTTAAAGACATGGAGTGTAGTCTTTAAAGATATGGAAATAAATGTTCAACTTGCTTCCTGCTCTCTAGTACAGATTTGATTTATAACAATGTATTCAATACACAAGTTTTCATTATAACCGACATGCTTTTGTACAATAAATCTCCCAACTATAGAACATTATGAAGAATACTCTATGCCATTACAGTAATCTTCATGTATAATGCACTACATACAAACAACCATCTACACTGCAAACAGCCACCTACATATTCTTGCTTAATATTACAGCAACAACTAACATTATTCATAATTTGGAAACAAATTACATAATGTTCAAACCATTCTACAGCCTGTAAAGGGTTCAGATCTGTAGTAAGGAATATGTATAGCTGATGGCTGAACTTTTTAGTTCTTGGTATTCTGTGAGCTTAGTTATTTTCTTGAAGATGTTACTTTACCCAGCTAGATAACATTATCAGTATGAGAGGAGTATATATAAATGGGCTTTATCTCCACGTGTCTACTGATTACTGATTTCTCTGAGTACCACGTTTTTAGAAATTCACTAACATTATTGGATTTGGATTTAAAATGTTAAGTTTACCAGTTGAAACCGTTTCAATTGCAAAACTGTTACCAACCATTTAAAAAATACAATGAAAACCTAGGAAGGAAGGAAACAGCCTAGTACACATTGCCCCCCACCCTCCAGCAGTCAACACCCAATAAATCAAGAAACAGCACCAGATGAACAACTAGGGAGGAAACAATTCCCTAATAAAGGAACCATCAAGTCAAGGCATTTCATAACCTAGCTAGGTAACATTATCAACGCAAAGGTGACTGGGCTTTTCTAACTGTTTATATATAGTGGCTTACCCTGCCAGTCTTGGTGGGAGTATGACAGTCAAAAAAGCCCAGTCTCCTTTGCACTGATATTACCTAGCTAAGTTATAAAATGTCTGCAAAATAAGAAAATAAAAAATCAGCCCAGCTCAGAAAGTACCAAGAACTGAGTGGAGAGGAACTAGGAAGTCTCTGCGTGAACAAAAATATGCCTGCTGAATATTGGTTATAAATCAACATTTAAATTCTAAACCTGTTATAGTTCTGCATTTTGGCTTTATGGAAATTAATTTTACTGTTATTACCCTTATGTCCATCATTAAGTACAGTATTAAAATTCATGTTCATGTAACAAAAAGTTCACCCAAAATACCTCCATTTCATTTATAAAAGATTTTAAATTGCACTATCACAGTAACTACAAAAACATGAAGAGTTATATCTCTTACCAACTGAAATTCTCTGCGTCTGTCATAAGCATGCTGGATACCACTGTCTTTCCACAAAGCTCTCACTGTTGGAAGGTATTGTAAGAAAGTATAGGTTTGCACCATCCCTTGCACCACTTCTGAACGGGTATCAAAGGCCATCATCTTGCTGCCATTTGCTTGATTAGCAGGATTTCCCCATGGAATATGAAGTTTCTCACGAGCATCCACAAGGACTCTAACACCTTCAACAAAATTGAAACTATGTGTTAGTTTCCAAATACATTTACATTAATCTTAATAACTGGATACGCTCAAAACACAAAACACGACCCATGTATCCAGACAGCTTTGTATTCTCACCCAAAATTTAAGAAACTATAATGGAAAAACATATATGCAGACTACAAACAGATAACAATCCCAAGTCCACTATAGTAACCTGAACCAAGTTATAGACACCAAGGTCTCTTATTTCTTTTTATTTCACCAGCCCTTGTACATATGACAAATACTTCTAAAACTGTTTTTCAATAATTAAAGCAGTCGATTTCTCAAAGTATGAACACTTTCTTTAAATTAGAAGTGACGGCTGTTCTAAGACTGAGTTGAAATCTATTCACCTAGCATTCTGATTCAAGCAAATTTGGAATCACATTTTACAAATTTTAATTTTCCAGTAAAAGGTTTAGTATTGCTCATATTATTTCCATATATGCAATTCCAGACATTTAAAGTAGAGAAAATTAATTACATGCTTCTGGAGTTCTACTATATTCAACTCAGCAGTTTTACATCTCATAAACACACAGAGAAACAGCTGCAGCAAACAGGAGAAAATGATAAAATATAAATTAATCATTCTCACATATGTCAAAGTTTAAATGATTCTAAGATGCAACAAAAATTCAATTAAATGCATTGGATTTAATTTAAAATACAAATAAATGTGACTACATTTTAAACCCTTTTGATGTTTAAACACCTAAGAAATATTTAAAAATAAAATTTTTTAAAGCAAAATGTGTATTAATTGGTTCAAGACTCAATGGAATATTGGTGTACTGGATAAAAAAGTTCTTGTTCCACCATTGTCATAGACTTGTTGGATGACAGTCTTATATTACCACTTGTCTTTTGTTAAAGGTCACCACCTGCATTAGGATAACACCTTTTAGGCATGTAAACTAATATTTATTAACGTTATCAATATATCACGATTATAAACACAATACACTTTGTATAGTTCACTACGGTATTTCATAAAGGCTGATATAATCATTATCTATAATACATTAGCGTAAAGCGTAAAGCGTAAAACGTGACCAAGATTACAACAGCCAAGACAAATTATTTTATGGTTTGAATGTATTATCAATAGTTTTTTAATCCACAAGACCCAGTGTTGGACAAGGTTGGAAACCCAGGTTCAACTCTATTTTCAATCATTGGGTAATCTGGGGTGAGTCACTCTCTTAGGCCAAACTATGTTGCACAGTTGTTGTAGGGGGAAATTGGAATGGAGTATTACCAGTATGTATGTTGCTTTGAGTGCCTGGAAAGGAGGGAGATAAATCTAAAGAATAAATAAAATTAAAGGAAATGTCTTGATTTTTATAGCAAACTGTAGTCTGTTTTTGTTATACATTTTACTGTTTGTATTAGATATACAAATTGTCCCATATCAAAAGAAAGTTTGAGAATGTTTGTTTTTAGTGTATCCAACAATTCAGAATAGCAATTAGCAGTTGAGGCTTTATTTATATTTTTAAAAAAGTACACGTAAAGTTATTTACCAAGAAATATATACTTCTGACAAACATGAAACAATATTTTAGTGATGGAATGAGTGTAAATTACAACAGATACTTTGTATTATAGTGTATTCTTCTATTAGCAATCTTTTGCAAGAAACTGTAACAGTGGCTATTAAACACTAGTATGTATGTAACAAAGCTAAGTACTTTTAGTTGCATTTCCGCTGCACTCACTGACACATGATTTTGTTGATTCATTCAATATATAAGCTATCTTTCAAATCAAACTATATTTAAGCTAGCTTATATCTTAAAACCACCACAGAATGTAAACAAATACAACTCATATATTTGAAATTGGTTTTATCTTCATTTCCTAATAACTAAATATGAAAATGATGTCTATTACAGTTTTCAGTGTCAAATAATGTCTATTTAAGCTACACTTAAATTGTAGTACAATATGTTATCACACATTTCCAGATTTCTAAGATGTGGTAGAAGAAAACAAATTAGCTGATGTTCAAAGTTGTTTTATTTCTTGCATGGCATTAAAAGACAAATACATTTGCTGTTGAAAAATTTCCAAATTTATTTCTATGAATTGCTACTGCATGATTAGAACTAAAGCATCCACTAGTGCCATGCTTACCATTCTCTCATTTACTTATCCCGCAAAGTGGTTTCCCTACCTATCCCTCCAAAATCTTTTTTTCACAGTTCCACAGCATCTAAAAATAGAAAGTGTTATCTATCTCCATGATTATAACTTGCAACAATAATTCAGTTGGATTTAATTGAAAACACAACAAATCTTTGCTTTCAACAACTATTTTTTCATTTGACCATGCCAAAGAAATATTTGTAAAAACAAAATACACACTGGGCACAATATTTGTTTAAAATGAAATACGGGCATGGATGAAGCTGTACATCTATGCTACTCTAAATTTTCCTTCCCATTCTTTGGAAACTGACCTTCCTAGCACATTTTCCCCATGTCCAAATTAAAGCTGCCTTAGACTCGGTCATCTCAACACTCCACCAACCACCTCTCAGAGGCACGAAATGTGCAGCCCACACCAGTTTTGCGACCCCAATAACAATGCCTCCAAACCTGTCCATAATTTCTTCCACACATATCCCTCCGTCTCTGGGCTCCCCTCCAGCCCCACCGCAACATGCGAGCGACCGCTGCAACTTGTACAACAGAAACAAGGCCGTCTGACACAAAGGCTTCAATACTACCCCCTCAAAGGCCATCCCGTTAAGGCACCGAGGACGACGCCTCGCAGGGCACACAAAGAGCGATTCTGACATTCACCCCGAGGGCTGATTGAACGAGGGCTCCCGCATCTCTAACTCAAGCAGGAAAAAAAAACCCCTCCCTTCCCCCCCCCCCCCCCCCGCCCCCCCCCCCCCCGCCCATCCTACCCCCCCCCCCACTTCCCCCAGCCCCTCCCAGCACCCGCCGCCGTTTTTCCCTCTCGAGGGTCCCCCAAAGTGCTACTGCCAGACGGAATCGACTAAACGAGCGTCGGGCGGAAGGTGGCCGCCTCAGCCATGCTTTCAAGAAGGTGTGTGTGTGGGGGGGGGGGGGAATAAGGCGTGACTTTTTTTTTATTCCTTTTGCGGCCGTGCCCGCGCAGATCTCCTGCACGAGGGGCTTCGGGCGTTTAAACGGCTTCTCCCCGCTCGCTCCCCAACGTCGGGGTTTCTTCGGCAGCCCCTCGCTTGGGGGTCTTTTCCGAAGCCGCCTCTCTGTTCTCGGGGCTTAGTCGCCCCACGGCGACCGCACCTCCGAGGGAATTGCCTCAGCCGGCCGGCCGGCCGACCAGCCTGCCCGCCTCCCCCTCCCACAACCGTACCCTTGATGACGTTGCTGTAGATGGTGGCGCGGAATTCCTCCCGGGCTGACCGGTCCCAGTCCTGCCCGTGAATGATGCGCATCTGCTTGAGGAACGTACTCTTGCCGCTTTCGCCCGCGCCCAGCAAAAGGATCTTGACGAGCCGCTTGACGTAGGTCTTCTCGCGGTACAGGCACTTATCGATCTCTTTAGACCGCCGTTGCTGCTCGGCCTCGGTGCTGTTGAGCATGCAGCCGGGGAAGCAACCCGACAGCGAGGACCGCGACGGCAGGAAATCCGCCATCTTAGCGAGCACTGCCAGCCAGGGAGCGGCCGCAGCGGCCCTGCACCGCTCTGCGCCTGCGTGGAACTCGGGTCGCTCGCTCAGGCCCCGCCCCTCCGGTTGCCCCTATGACAGGAGACGCCGCGTCAAGAATGCCCAATCACGGACTCATCCTGCTTTCATGTGGTACCCGCTTCTCGGCCTCTAAATTGACTGGCCCCGCCCCTGGGTCTAGCACGTGATCCTATCATCTGGTCTCTGTGTTCGGAATTTCCCCTTCTTCGGATTGTCACGTGATAGGGTCCCCGTTTCCCCCCCCCCCCCCCCCGGCTGCTTTTTTAAAAAAAAAATGGCTCGAACTCGTCGTTAGGGTGCATGGGATGTTTTGGTGTGTCGAGCTGCTGCCTCGTTATGAGCCTCGGCTGATCTCGCCTGTTAGGATGCATGTCCAGAATTTATGACATATTAGCTGGAATATATCCATTTTGGGGTTGTCCAGATTGATATTTTTTCCCCAAATTTGGGAGAGGGGACATAGAATAGGAAAAATCAAAAGAAAATTATATGTAGGAAGTGCAAAGAGTGATAATTATCTATAAAGAGTACCATCAAACCACACATAAGAGTCAGTGGTATCCATAGAACAAATGAGGAAAAGTGGCAACTCCTCAGAATATTCTGTCACTGACATAAATGCCAGTTCAGGAGCAAAAGCATAACAAACATCCATTTCTTTCATGAAACAATTGATTCAAGACTTAAAACATTTTACATATATGACTTAAATATGTTAATAAACTTGTCTATGCAAAAATATGTAATATTCAGCAACTTGTTTTAGTTAATTGAGTTTCTGGTTGTTTCTCCAGTCTGTGTGGTGTTCTGTATGGATAGCTGGACTTCTCCCTATGGAATAAAATATAATGCATGCACCAATCATCACCATTATTTATTATTAAATTTATTTGCTGCCCATCTTACCACAAGGTGATTCTGTGCAGCTTACAAGGTTAAAAGCAATAAAAGTGTGTGTGTGTGTAATATTTATTAAATTTATTTATCATCTAGTCCTTGGGAATACAATGGCATACAAATGTTAATAAATAAGTCTATATATCTTTGTCTATATACTGTTATTTAAATATACAGTATTTTTCTTTGTTGGATTTATTTATGCTACACAGAGACTAACTGTTCAGTAGTTTTGGCTTTGTGTTCCGTACAACCAGTCAGTAAGCCATAAGTTATTTGGAGCAGGGCTGGTGGTGGTGTTATAACAATACTTGCAAGAATCTGACTTATTTCATCATTTCCAGTTACACATGTTTATTCCTATATCAGATCAGCTAGTGTAGTATGTTGATTAAAGTATCAGACTGATGGGAGATAAAATTGGAGAAGAATCGTATATCAAGTGCTTTGAGCTGTTTAAATAAAGATAGGAAATATTTTTTAAAAAAAAGTTTGGTCTCATATTCTATATTATTTCCACAGGTGTGAATAAATCAAACTAGAAATAAAACAGATTGTAACTTGTCCCATTATAATTAAATGTGGAAAAAAATGTGCCTGTGAACCTATTCAGCCAAACAGCATGCAGATTTCCTTCCCTAATTTTATCTTAGGGTGATGTGCATTTTGCTAACACTTACTAACCCTAGCATTATTAATTAATTTTATTATTTATTATTTATTTATTTATTAAGCATTATTTAGATACAACGCAAATTCTCTTTGCTACCAGCTCAGCCTTTGTAACAAGATGAAAGGGCTCCCCCTAATGTTAATCGGTAGAAAGCACAACCCTGCTCATGCAAATAAAACCAGAGTGCCCAGCGTTGATTGGCTATAGAAGATCGTGCCTTCTTCCACGGCGTTTTTATTCTGTAGCCTGCCGAGTTTCAATACTGTAATGCAGTTTGCTTGAAATCCCTTAAGATTTCACCTTTTCCTCTGCAATTGGTGAAAATACATTTGTTGGGGTTTTTTTTAAAAAAAATTATTTTGCTTAATAAAGTAGATCACGATGACCATCACGCAAATAGATCAAGGACAGCGGTACAGGCCAAGAATGGCATTCTTGAAAAAGGTAACAAAGCCAGTCTCGTTTTCAATGCTTATTTTTAGCACCTACAGTATCTTATAAATGGAAGAACTGGAAATCTCGGGCACAGCTCTAAAGCATCTGATTGATATGCTGTACACCAAGGTTTGGCTGTAAGAGAGAAGGGTGGTTTTTTTTTTTTAATCTCCCAGCAGGCGTGTGATTTGTTACAGTCTTCAAAAATCTTGTCGTTAGTTCAGTCTTTCATAGTGATTTAGTTCCCTCTGCCTATTTTCTTTTCTTTGCATGGACCTTTGCTGTAATGTGATGCCTTTTGTATTCGTTGGCATTCAAAAGGAGAGCAACCAGTTACAGAGCCACCTTTCTAGATATGCCAGAAGCTGCTTAAAATAATAACATTGAAAGTATGGGTGCCTATAAGCTTTTGAAGGCTATGTTATTCTTGTTAATTGTAATAATTGCTATTTTGCATGTCCACGCTGCCTTTATTTCTATTCGGAACTTCTGCATTTGAAAACAGTTCAATTTTTCATCCACCTCAGGCTATAAGTAATTTAAAGCATAAAAGTCACAATCCTTGAAGTTTACAGCATTACACTTATTCCTCACTATAGGTTATCCTGGACCCTCCCTCTGTGAGGGAAAAGGGCGATTCAAAAATGTGATAAATAAATAAAATTGAAACTATCTACTTTGCCTTCTCTTCCCTATGAAAATGCTTCCCTTATACCAATCTACTTGTTCTCACCATTACATTTTTATTTCAAATACAGCTGGCAGTGACATGAGGTAGGGACTTCTCTATAGCAACAGCCCTAATATAGAATGTCAAGCAAAAGTACATCATGTTGAATCTGGCCAAGATTAGTGATTATTGCTGATTAGCGGCTAGTGGGGCCAAGCAGGGTTGTTTTTCTCAACACATTTTTCTATATTTTATGGAATGTTATTTGTTCTTCTGTCTATATTTTTGTCCGTTATTCGTGGTATCTTGATTTTCTTTTTTGAATGAACTGATATTGGTTTTGAATGATTTGAGTTATGATATTCAACCTAACCAAGTTTACACTATATTTAAAAAAAAAAAGACTGTCAATTTGTCATCCAAAATTGGTGATCTTTTTTTAAAATTTTTAAGTATGGACTAAATTTGGGTTGCTCAATAGGGCACTTCATTGATATTTTTGCAGTGCCTATGAAACCATGTTTATAGCATTATTGTTGGTTGGTTTGTTAGACTACGGAGATTAGCACCAATTTATTTAAGGAATTCCCTTTTTCATAAAAACCCTTCATGCTTTGCAAAGTATTCATTGCTATCATAACACAGTTTGCATTTCTTGACCCAAAGGGCAAAAAAGAGAATTTTTACCATGAAGCTCACTGTGTACAATTCTCCTTCTTTTGGGACTCAGTTAGTTCCGGATGTGGGATGTTTCTGCCAGTGATACGAGACAGTGATATGTTGATTGCCAAATATACTTTTGCCTAGAAGATTTGTCTAATATATGTAGTAATAGATGAAATAATAGTAGTATGATGTTGTTGTAAACTACTTTGGGATTTATTTATTTTTTGGGAAAGGAAAAGTGATTTATAAATTTAAAAGGAACTATTTGTGAAATAAATAAAATTACTGGGAGGCAATCAAAAAATTTCCAGAAAAAAGATAGCTCATTTCCAATTCAGTACTGTACAGAGTTGGATGGTAAATATTCTTGGGGAAATCTAATTTACTTCTCAGGAAATGTTGCAGAAAACATTTTATAAGCTTTGAGAATATCCACTTACCACTTGGAGACCACCAAAAAGTCAAACTATATGAAACCTATCTTCAATAAATATGGAAAAGAGACACTAAGAAGGTGTCCATAATATAAAGATTACACTAAGATTTTTAGACAGAAAAATGAACTCTTGTGATTGTGTGTGTGTGTGCCCTTTTCTATTATAAGTAGTCCTTGACTTAACTAGCAAAATGTAAAATGGGGCAAAACTCACTTAACAATTGTATTGCTTAGCAACAGAAATTTTGGGTTCAATTTTGGTTGTAAATTGAGCACTACCTGTACAAGGAAGGAAAATTCGTGACCCCAAATGTTGCTGAATTACAACTGCTACTATCTAAAATGCTGATTATAATGGCATAGCCAGGGGTTATAGTTCAGCAGCTGCTAAAAGATGACAGGTTCTCATTCCTTAGTCTATAGTATCTCTATGCATTTATGATAAGCAACCAGTGCTGGTATTACTTAAGATCTGATTCCTTGTTTATTTCTGTAACTATTAATTAAACTGGACAGCTAGCATAGTGTGATAGATAAAGATCCAGTTAAAGATTTGATCTAGGAGCAGGGAGAGTCATGTTTTAATCCTCCCTTAGGCTACAAGATGAAGCCTACAAGACTTTTAGTCAATCACACCCTCTCAGCCCTAATCGGTGTGAGGCTCCTGTAATAATAAGCCTGCTAATTGACAAAATATCTCATTGGGTCATGTATTAGCAGGGCTAATAACAATAAGAACTAGGCAACTGCAGGATAGAAACAAGCAGATCCTGCAAACCTGTGGGATGTAAGTTAAGATCCACAGCTATTCATTCAGCCAATTTAAGAGAATTTTAAGTTTTCTGAATATAGAAATGCCTAGATAATATATAGACATCTCATCTGTCTTCAGGTTTCTGGTACAATGAATATAAATACAGTAAAGTTTTTTTGAAGGGAACTGGATTTGTTGTCTTTAAACATGGGAAAAGTAAAACTGTTCACAAAATGGGTGAGTTTAATTCAGAAAAATAAAAATAACTTTTGAGAGAGGGAATAAGATGCTTGATATTGCAGTTTAGTACATGCTCTGTTAAACAGATCCAAAACCACCCTCCCAACTATTTGTGAGTCAGTGTTAATTACTCATTACTACATTTGCTCCAAAATTAGAAGTGGATTCTTTATCAGCCAGCCACAGCTTTTTAGTGGCTTTCAGAGGCCACCAGTTATCTGGTGCAGATATGGAAGCATTAAATTTCCATGTATTTATAGTAAGCAATCACTACCGGGATACCGTTTACCATTTAAAATCTTATTAAGCTTCTTGTCTGAAACAGATTAACTAGTGCCTTCAGCTGGTTTTGGCTATAATCTTCATAACCCCTTGCTTTATTGGATTTAAATTTGGACTCATCCATTGAGCAGGTATTGGATTTGATGACTTCAATGGTCCTTCCCAATTGTGATTCTGAACCTTTGGTCATCTTGGTTTGAACTGTTGGGAATTGTAGCTACCGTATTTCCTTCAATTGTTTCTGCTCATCTCATAACTCACTTCATATCTCATCTCTTGAGCTATGCCATTTGATGGAGCTTTCTTTGTCATCAAAATCACAAAACTGCATCTCATTTGCTTTGGCCATGTCATGTGGTGGAATTCACTGAAGAAAGCAATTATGTTTGGAAGAGTTAGCAGTAGAAGGAAACCAGGCCACCAGGCAATAACATGGTAACTGGACACCATCAAAGCTGACACCAACCAGAACATAGAAAAACTCAAAGAAGTAGTGCAAGATTGGAAGATATGGAAAGACCAGTCACAGCTCTCAGGAATAGTTTTTTCCCTGGAAATTTGAATAGCCCTGACAGTTGCAATTCTTTAAACAGGATTTGAAGACCTGACTTTTCCTCCAGGCCCTGGGGTCTGGAGAACATGCCTACCTAGAGTGAACTATGTTGGGCTTATTTGTGGTGCATATCTATTTTCCCTATTATGACAAGTTTCATTTTTTATTATTATTAATTTGTTTATAATATGAAAAGCATTCTTTATTTTACAAAGTATTGTTTTTATGAGTTGGGAGATCTTAAATGCAGGTAATCCTCGAGTTACGACAGTCCACTTAGCAACCATTTAGCCCCACCCAAGTACTTACAACCTAGTCCTGAAGTTGTGAATGTTGTAGTACTGCAGCAGTCATTCACACCTATGAAAGGCCACAGAGGCACTGCAAAATTCACCTGCCTATTCCCCCTCCCCCAAGTCTCCACAGAAACTGGGCCTGCGGAGACTCACCTTGTGACAATCTAATGAGCCATCGGTTTCTTTGCCTGCTTTGGTGCATTCATAGAGAACAGAGGCCTAAAGTAGTATAAGGTCAGTAGCATGTGATCTTGCACTACAGTACTTTAGGTCTTTGTTCTCTGTGAACTGAGGCCTGCATCAGATCCAGTTGAAGAGCACTTGCAAGCTGACAAGACTTTGGGGCAGCGATACTGCATTGTTTCAAGCCTCCCATCGGCTTGCAAATGCTTTTTGCACTGAGACTGCAAGCAGGCAAAAAAACCCAAACCCGCAGCAGAGAGGCTGGACAGGAGACAACTCGCTAGATCTCGCTAGGTAGGGAAGGCAGGATGAGGGAGGAGCAATTGTGGGGATACCAGAGGAGGGAGCATGATGTGTCTCAGTGGGGCTGAAGCAGATAGGTGATCTGAAGCAGGTGGCCTGTTCCATCGCTAGCCACCCCCCATGGCCTTTCCCACCCTGAGATACCTCATATGCACTTAACGACCCACGCATTTGCTTAGCGAATGCATGGGCGAAAGCAGGGAGCGATTACATTTATTTTACGCGATTCACTCCAAAAAATCCTCGGGTTATGAATGTAATTGGCAGTCTTCATTACATTAGTAACTCAAGGACTATCTGTATTTAAAATTGGCCTGCCACCTTTCAAAATCAGCTTGCAAAACACTGTCTTAGAACCAATGTTAAAATATTCCGATAAGAAATGGAAAGACAATACAAAGCCATATAACAAAGCATAGCCGTTCAAATGAAAATCCTAAAATTAAGTAACAGTAAAAACAACCACTGCCAAATATATTGAAAGACAACCCACTGAATAGTCCCTGGAAAAACAAACCTCCAGAAAAAATAATAAAGTTTGTACTGTACTAGGTGTACTTCCCTGCATGGTTCCAGGATTGAGAGGAGTGTCTCCAAGGTTGACTGCTCTGAGAGGAGACCCAAAGCAAAACTCTAAAAAATGATCTTCTGTTATATTATGTAGGAACACATGAGAAGAAGCTTTGAGTGTGTGAAGGACTGATAAATTGAATTGGGTCAAGAAATAAACTAGAGCCAATAAAAACAATGTCATAATGCCCATTCATGTCAATCCTCTTAGTCTGGTAAGAATTAGACTTTTGCAAGATATCTTTCAAATTATATATCCACGAGGCTGCTCAGATCAGGCAACAGATGCCACACACAGGCCTAACCTTGTTTTTATTAAGATTGGCTGTAGTAACAGAATCTTGCAAGTTTTTTTCTTACAATGTACTTCTCTTCCTCTATATGTCCTGTGAATTAGGGGAGTACCTATGTGAGACATTTTCATAACCCTCCCCAACCCCCAAGGTTTAAACAACATTTATCTACTCTTATCCTTGGTAACCTCTCTATGTCAGAGTCATCCTCTACTTTCTGCACCCACATAGAGCACACTGTATTGATCTATAGATTAGAGTGGGCTATCTTTATTCAAGCAGGGCTATAATTTCATGGCACAAAGATTGCATATTTATGGACCGGTCTCCAGAAGTGGTGCTCCCAACTTCCAACCTCTGCAGGCAATGCTTTCTTGAAGTCAAACATTCATGAGATCTAAAAAGACCAATACACTGGGATACACTCTTCCCAGTCAAGTTCCAATGAAGATCGTGTAGCAGAATGACAAATGCAGTTTCTGCCAGTCAACCTGACTGGAAAGGATCCAGATAATCTGTTTCTTCCAGGATCCTCTGAATTTGACCCTCCCTTTCCTTATAACCTTTCTCAGATGTTGGAAATTGGATTAAAGTTATCAAGAACATATGGGTTCAGGGAAGGCTTCTTCAGATTTTGTGCTCTTTCTGTCTCTTCAAGACAGTGAGTATCATGCTTTCCCTCAAAAGATGTGTTAATTATCTCCCAAATCAGCCACAGAAACCTGCCTGGAATTAGTCAACCAATCAATCTTACAGATCATAGCATTACACAGAGGACCTGTCTTTTTTCTCTGATTTATGGGCTCCAAAGAATTCCAGATAATTTTACAAGACATCACTATAGCCTCTGTCCCATTATATCCAAACCAAACTGAATACAAGCAAATTTATCTTTTAAAAACCCACAATTTCATTTGATGTAAACGTTGAAGCAATGACTTGCCCGTTTCTCCCACAAACCCAGGGTCTGGGTTTCATGACAAGACTATTGGTTGACAGTCTATGGATGAAATAAGCAAAAAAAAAAGAATTGCTTTTGTTCTGCTCTGTGTAGCTCTGTGTAGCCTTTTATCAGTGCCTGGTCATGCCCATTTGTGGTTTTATACCAACATCATTCTAAATATATTGAGTCACTTCTTTTCCTTCAGCTCCTCAGTAAACAGAGGAGCAGGCTAGGACTGGCAAATGGAGAAAGACGACTCTGGGGCAATTATATCATCTACTTTGGTTACCTCCACATTTTACAGATTGACCAGGATAGAACTGTCTTACCAGATTGTCAGGGAAAACCCCAAATATTCTCTGAGAACCATCCAGATCTATTAGGCAACTAGGACAAACCAAAATAATGCCTTCCCACATCCTCACAGGTTCTGGGCAACTGAACTGTGATCTACCTGCTACTGAGGAAATGATCTGACACCAGGTTAAAGTGTTCATCTACCACCATGTTGTGGATGGAGATGGTCTTCTTGTGTACCAACCTGAGATTAATCAGCCACACTTAAAATCAATGCCTCCAGCTATAAAACACTTAAAACAGTGATTTAAATGTTTACTTTTTCTTATTGGTGCACTTCATTAAATTAAGGAATAATATTTCTGTTTATTTTGCATATTTATGTAATTCTTACTGGGGTTTTTTGTTTCATTTTTAATACGTCTCTATTACAATTTGCAGTTGGAGGTTTTGTTGGTAGAAATGCAAGATCCACAATCTGGCATCAAAACGCAAATTCAGAACATGCCGGAGGGCAGCATTCCACATACTGTGGTTGGTAAGTCTGACATACTAGAAAATAGAAGGCAATCTCAAACATTAGGTTTTATTATGTATTATTATGCTCCATATTCATCAGTCACTTTATTTCTGCCTTTGATGTTGGAAAACAGTCACAATAGCAGTCCAAGAAGATGACAACAGAAACTGCCATCCTAACACTGTAGAACATGCCTGTCAAACTGATGGCTCATGGGCTGGATATGCCACGCCCACCCCAGCTCCACAAAGTCAAAAGACAGGATACATCACGATCTGGCCCGTGACGCGATCGAGTTTGACACCCATGCTGTAGTAACTCAACCTCAACAATACATAATACACAATACAGTACACAAGCACACAATAGATACAAACTCAGGGTAAACCACATACAATTCGATTGCAGAAAATACAACTTCAGCAACAGAGTGGTCAGTGCCTGGAATACTCTACCTGACTCTGTGGTTTCTTCCACTAACTCCAAACACTTTAACCTCAGACTGTCTACTGTTGACCTCACCCCCTTCCTAAGAGGGAAGGAGTGTGCATAAGCACACCAACGTGCCTACCGTCCCTGTCTTAATTTTTCCTTTTTTATTCGTAGAGGAAAAAGAATAATAAAGACCTGGACATCAGATGTAAGGAATTTAGGTAATCTGCTTCTTCTAGAGTATTCTGCAGCTGACTCTCCACCATCATCACAGCAACCTTCCCTATAAAAATCTTGACATTATTGTCTTGACATTTGTAGCCTTTCTTTGATTTCCCACTTCTTCCATTAATTTAATTGTCACAGAAAATCCTTTAAGGAGACAAAGTCAGAGTAGCTGTGTAATAGTTTTGATTGGCAGTACTAGAAGCAATTCATTTAAAACCAATTTCAGTATCTGTTTTAAGGTCTGACAATGCTAGTAGAAACCTGGCCAAGAAGATCAGGTGACTATGAAACATTGCAACATCATAATTGCAAGCCAGTGCCAAGGGCCCGGATTGGGATTACATGACTGCAGGGATGTTGCAACAGCAGGAACATAAAATTCAAGAACAGGTTATAAGTACCACTTATTCAGTACTGTGCAAGTTTTAAAAGTGATTGTTAACAAGTGGTTGTTAATCAAGGAGCACCTGTATGTGTATTAAAAAATCTACTGTCACTACTCCAAAATAATAATCTCAGTATAAAAATTGTAAGATTATCATGGAAGTTAGTATTTTAGGCATAGGGTCGAGATAATATTCTGTCTTCCAGGCACTCAGAATTGATTGCAGAAAATTAAATCTGTAATATAAAAAGATATTAAGTATATCTTTTTCTTTAGAGGTACAGCAGAAAAATCTAATTTGACTGTTTACTTTTCCAGAATAGTCATCTGTATATCTCTTTTCTTTTAATATATACAGATTGTCCTCTTTTTGTTTCCTTTGTTGTTGTTATTTCACACTATTGCTTCTCTCCTTGTCCCTTCTCCTAGCTTTCTATCCCTTTCTTAGTAAGGAAATATCTAATCTTTTATTTACTGCCCACTAAAGTATCTGTCTACCATCCTTTCATCACTCTTGTTCTAATCCTTACTGAGTAGACAACAAAGATCATGACTTTAAGAACGAGTGTTCTTTCCCATATTTCTTTGAGTAGCGTTAGAAGCATCCTTCAGCAATACTTCCTAAAGCATACAAGATTTTATCCGAAATACTTCAGGATTTTTATTTCCAAACACCAGCCCTCATATTCCATTTAAAGCCCTCTGAACCAGCCATAGTTTGACTGCACACTGTTTTACAGGCCTTGTAAAGTGCAGCCTGTTATTCGGATGCTAGTCCTAGGAAATATTTCTATCTTATCGACATTTTTGTAGCCAGTCATTACCTTGAAACATTCTTTCCAGTTCTTCTCCATGGTTCATTTAATTTGTGTCTCATGCATCAAATAATAGAATTCCTAGTTCAAAGGTGATTTGATTAATGTTATTTTTATACAGCAATTGTCTCATGGCAATCTCTCAGTTTAAACCATTTCAGTTGCCCTGCCTACTTATATTTTACTCATTTGTCAGTGAAAAAAAAACACTTGAAATTGTGGTGGCTATGTCTTTTAAGAGGAAGAAAACGTAGAAGGCCACCGCATTCCTCTGAATACAGTAACAGGTATAGCTTCATGGTGAATTCAGGATTCTGACAGTAAGCATCATCTCTTAAGCAGGTGCGGAGAAGGTTACCTAAGCAGGGTCTGAGTGGCAGGTTAATCTTTTAATTTCCTCTATTTTGGGAAGCACTCTCCATAATGGGGATGAGAGCTCCTGATCGCTGGTGTGTGTGCCTCTCAAGCAATCACATGTCAGGAAAGGGTAGCATTTTGAATTGAATTTTGGCAGCATTTAGAACTGAGCATGAATACATGCCCAGATAAATGGATTTGTTCCCAAATAAGATTTCTGGTTTTGACATGCCTGAAAATGTGCACTATATTTCTGATTCATAAGTAAGATTTTTTTTAACTTTCCCTTAAAAAAACCCAGCCTCTTAGAAAACCACAGATGTATCTTCATCATTTCCTCTCTACTAGCCATTTCCCATTAATTAAATGAAGACAGCATTAATGCCCATTTTATATAAGTTCCCTGAATACTCTTTTACTGGCTGGGGTATAAATTCTAGCTTTTGAAACCTGATGCCTGCTTTTATGTTTCATTTTTAATTTCCAAGTAACTGTTTAGTTGAAATACAGTACATGACTGCTGGCTAACCTGCTGTTTTCTTTTGTAGAGGACATACTGTGTTCCCAGTGAGTCACCTTGTTGAGAGGATACAGTTTAATTCACATTTCCCCACATGTTGCATTATGATTTAGTTTTTCAGCTGCAAGCCCAAGGCAGAGTTCATCTTTTAACAACTCAACGTAGCAAAACATGTACTTTGGAAATCAGAAGGAAAGGGTTCTGTTTGGTCAAAAAGCAAGTGGCTTTAAATCAGTAGAGACACCATAAATACTAAAGACTTTAAAAAGACCACAGAACTCAAGTTACTGTTTAGGCCTAGGGATCATTTGGGGACTGGCACAATTATTTTGGTTAGAATCCAAAATAGGACGAAGTAACAGGTGTTTTTCTTTTCATAGTTCATGCTCTTATCCTTTCTCTTATACGTAGTCTTTGACTTAACAACCGCAACTGAGCCCAAAATTTGTGTTGCTAAGCAAGACAGTTGTTATGTGACTTTTGCCTCATCTTACGATCTTTTTGCCACAGTTGTTGAGCAAGTCACTGCAGTTGTTAAGTAAATCTTGCGGTTCCTAAGTGAATCTGGTTCCCCCTCCCCCGACTTTGTTTCTTGGAAGGCAGCTGGGAAGATTACAAATGGTGACCACATGACCCCAGTCCAACTGTCATAAATACATGCCAGTTGCCAAACATTTGAATTTTGATCACATGACCATGGGGATGCTGCAATGGTCATAAAGGTGAAAAACGGTCATAAGGAGCTTTTCTCAGTTCTGATGTAACTTCAAATGGTCACTAAACAAATGGTTATAAGTTGAGGACTACCTGTATTTCATACCAATTTGTTTTTCCTCAGATGACTACAATAGCTGAGATGAAGTCACCCATTTTGAGCTCCTGAATTTGTTTGGAATTATGAATGTGGTTGGCTTAACAAAATGAGCTATCTCTTGCCTACTTATAAAGTATCCAAGATGACCTATCTCTCTCTAAATATATCTATTTCCCAAAAAGCAAGTGAACCACTTACTAGCACCCTAGAAACACCTTAGATTTCTTTTCTTTCTTTCTTTCTTTCTTTCTTTCTTTCTTTCTTTCTTTCTTTCTTTCTTTCTTTCTTTCTT